ATAGTATTCACTGTAATTTTGTGGGGTGGTGGATAAGTGGTTCAGGTGTTCAACTTTCAACCACTATGTTTTATGTCTGAGTCCCGCTCCACATAGATAAGGTTGAGGAGCCGGGTGATGTCATTAGTCTCCACACAGAATGTGACTCAAAACTGAGTACACGAATGTATTCTTTGGTGAGTTACACCGTCAATAAACTGTAATTGGTTGTTGATTCATTCAATATCAGTCCTTGTTCTGACTTCGCTGTTTTTCACTGTGAATAGATACCTTTAGAATTGTACCTTCTGCTTAAGAATATTGTTGGTGAGTCACACATATCATATTTTGTTTTACAAACAATCACCAACATCTTTAATGCTCTTAAGAATAATTTCTCAACTAGTGTATGAGAATCAAGAGTTCCTCGACTTGTCTTCTTTTCTAGTTGGCCTTTTGAAGATATTGACATTTCCATCCAGAAAAACACAAGCTTATTGACACCACAATTCATATGTATTCTGACAATTCCTTTAATACAACTGTATGGTTGGTCTATGAATACTCTGTTAGGATTATGGTTTGCTATAGTCAGATTATCCGTGTACTATCTGCGGCCGTGTCTTTTGTATGCTACTCCGTTGAAACATTTTACATTTTCTGTTCTCAATATGGTAGTTACTTCTTTGTGCCAGAAATTATTTATGTATAGAAAACTGGGGGAAATCTTAATGCAGCAAAATAAACTTTTAAAAAATGTCCCAAATTACCATGTAATTATAAACTAGATAAGTAGGATGTCAGTTAGCGCTTGTGACCGAAGAGATTTAATTGTGTAAGTGAATTAAAGGCAACCCAACAGGAATATGAACTATGCGGTTTGGAATTGATGCACTAATTGTACTCAAAACTGTATTTCCACTTGCTGTCACTGATGGTGTTTTCACACCTGATCGCGACAATTTGTTTCTGATATGCTTGGATGCTATTACGAGTTCACCTGACTCCGTAAATCGAACGAAAGTCAAAGATACAGTTACACGATAAGCTATTTTAATCCGTTGTCCTCGGCCCTGCTAACTAGATCAATAAGTCTTGATGGGACGTAGAGAATGTATTCTACATGCAATCAGAAAATACGAGGTCACTAAGCACACAAACCAAGCTTATTTGTACAATGATAGAAATGCCCTTGGAGAGCCACAAAATAGCGTACTAAAAAATCCGTCAACCAATGACAGTCAAGGATTTCCGAGCGGGAAATGTGAGTTGTAGGTCAACTAAACGTCTCTTGGCGTGAAAACAGATTCAAATGTTCAGAATAAAATCACAACATTAAAACTTTTTCCAAGTGAGTTCTAGGGATCTAACGTCCTCAACAGGATCATTGGTGAACATCCGGTTTTGCGAAACTCGTCACTTCATATCAAATTACTTGAATATGAGAAAGCGTTTGACAGTGTAGATAGGAGAAACTTATTCTTCACTATGGTGTCCCTGAGATCAAGGAGCACATTGCGTGGGGAATTGGAGACAGACATCAAAAGAATGAATAGGACGTGAAAACAATTGGAAAGAAGAGCCGAGGAATATCGTGGTCGGTGGTATGTGTCACTATGAGGATTAACATGTGTAAGACCATCAAAGTCATGGATTTGTCACTACAAAATTATTGGAAAAGTAAGTACGTACAGTGGTCTTGATCTACCTAAGCAGAATGTTTTATCAACAGTCAACTTCGATTGGGTCAAGAAGGCCTTAAATTGTCTATTATCATACTAATCATCTGTATTTTCGGAATCTATACTTGTAAATTCAATGGATTGTGTGACATTTGCATTTCTGGCGAATGGCCATGTGATTTACTTTTATTCAAGATAAAATATAGTTTTGTGATTTGCTTTCACTTGTCTCATTTTAGAGCACCCATAATCGCCATTCATTTAACACTACGAGAAGCCTTGAAAGCAAAGGTATCAAACGCAATACTTCTAAGGAAAACAGTCCTAGACAACAAACGCCTGTAGTTCGGACTCCGACTCGACGTGCTGAACGTATTCGATCACAGAGTGGACCGAAACCACTTAGTCCTGTCAACCTTCAGTCAGACCCATTCCAATCAGCTACCTACCACTGATAGGATAAGTTTGTCGGGGAGTTTTACGTTGTTAGTCTTTCGATGTATATTATGTACTGTTATCATCAGCAGACGATTTCAAATCAATAACTGTATTTTCTTCTGTCCCTAATTCGGATGGTTAATTTTCTCTTGACTCTTACGTTAACCTGTGAAAATCTTTGTCATGTCACGCTTTTTCTCTCTGTTATATTAGCAAGAATAGTAACCAGAAACATATGTAATTCATCCATCTCAATTTTCATTCTTATTCATTATCGTTTTACTTAATAGAGCAGAACTATCAGTTTTAGACAGAAAACAAAAGATCTTTCATTATCGATAATCTTCTCGTTTACGAATGTTGTTTTCATTTTGTTTCTCGACACATGCAGTCTATCAGTAATCCCATTACTATATTATTCGCTCACTCTAGAGAAATTCTTGCTTACATAAAGTAACACTAACAGAAAACCAACTGTCTAATTGAGTAGACCGTACTATCGCGTACTTTGTGATTTATGACTCGGATAGGTAAGAAATATCTCAATTCTGTCTGACTCATGATTCCTATTAATTACCATTTTGTGTATTTCGTAAGCATCAAGTGAACTAAAAGTGGAACTGACTGGCTGACGAGAGGGTTCAAGGAATTCACAGTTTCCCCCTTACTATGTGATCTTGCAAATTATCTATTGTGTTTTATGCCTTTTTATTTCCATGTGTATGTTATGTTCAGTTGTTAAAGATTTTTTCTTTCGTTTTTCTCTTTGTCTATAAAATCGAAGTGATATTTTTCTTTGAGCACGAATGTGATGATACATTGTTCATAATCATAAACAATATTTAATTTGATTGTTTTAGTATAATTAGTAGTGCTATTATTTTTCTAGGTGATGAGTTGTAGGATTCAGTAGTATTTCTGATTCGAAAGAAACAGATAATGATAATCCGAGTGTGTTTCAATGAATTGTGCATGCAACTCACATTTATTGCTAACAGTTAAGTCTTAACGAAATTCTCGTCACACCTGACCCCTACTGACTACTTATTCGTTTCAAAGGCATTGTATTTTCGTGGGACTTTTCGACATTTTAAATAAACAAATGCACCGTCGTAAACTAGAAGTCGTGGTTTAGCCTTCATGTTAATATTTATTTAGGTACAACACGGCTCCGAAAAATGCACCACACAAAGGAAGCGATATTGTGTAGGAATAAACGAGGGTAAGGTTGTACAATCAATAAATAATTATGGATAATGCGGTCAGAATACAAAGGTTATCAGAATTACGTCCCTCCAATACATTTCGAACAACCTGATCATATATATACTTGTTAATTAAGTCAGTCCGCTACAACGTAGGACCAGGCTTACATATGCATCGGTCCAAGTTGCCACACCTCATTAGCGCTTGTTAAGACATTGTACGAAAAAATCAAGACGACTAATTGTTTTCATTAATAAATGAACAGAAACAGTATTCAGTAAGGGATACAGTTCAGTTGAAAATTGACAAAGCGACCAAAGATTAAGCCTGACAGTCAGGGCTGTACATCTCAAATCACTGCATTGCACAATCTCTAGAGCTCTAAGTGGAGAGTATTGATGAGATGACTGACCATGGTCTTATACAGCCATTACTTTTTCATCTACAATCTCAAAACTTCGTTTTTCTTGAGTACGAATGAACAGGAAACAATAGTCATCCAGGATAGAATCTTCGATACCGTGTTAATGGATACGGAGGATCCATCTGGGGGATTTGGAAAACCCTGATTCCAAACCTGTGGTGCATATAGACTCAAGGATCCCAGGACGGAAACTGGCGTATGAAACTGTTGTTGATCACCGGCGACCGTGGGACTGTGTCCTGACGTTTCCCCACTGCTTTGTGGATTAGACCTCTAGGTCAAAGGCTCGGGAAGTGACCTCCTGAGAAAACCACCTGCTTCAGTTTGGGCGCCCGGACAATATTCCAGCCCTTACACAAGTCGAATGACAAAGTGCGGCACATAAACATTTGGTGCCTCCCTGTACCAATGTTCATGTGTTTACATAAATAAATAGAAACCACTTAATATTTACAATCAGGTATTGTGATTATCACGTCAAATGTATCCAGGGTATCTGGACCTAAGTTATAAGCTTTTACCAGTTAGGTGAAGTTGATCCAGACCCTACCTTATATATCGGTCAATATTACTAACTGTTGAAGTATCATCTAAAATTATCAGTCCGACCTTCCTGTTACCTCTCTCTTGGTTAGTCTTCAGATTGTTGATGGGCAGTCAAAAATTGAAGTAGATGGAAGTCAATTGAGCTATTACTTAATTTATCTCTAATTAACAAAGTCCCTTTATCTCAGTGCATTACTGAATCGTCTTTCTTAGTCTCTTTACTAACAACTGATACCCGAAGTCTTAGCTATATGATGAGTCTGAACAACTGTTTAATATTAGCTATAAACCCTATTTTTCCAACTATATCACTTTCATCGCACAGCATAATTGTACAGTAGCTGTCAGTCCATGTATACATCGCACCAACTCATCGTGTTTAAAACCTGCCGAAATATATTTTTTTAAGCATCCACCCAGTCACTAAAGACTTCCAGAGTTGACTGAACCACTTTAACCCTGCAGTTTTTGTTGCTAACGGACATCAGTACTGGTATTATATCCGTTTTCAGAAGATTTAAAACTATTGCAATGACCAAATAAACTTGTTTATTCATTACAAGTTTGTGTACTAATCTTTGAGACACAGATTTCCTATGAAGAATTATGATGCTGGACTGGATAAATCGAAGTACATAGAATGGGTTTCCGACCTGCAGAACATTAGATGATAATCCAGAGCCTTAACTACTGAACTACCTGAACACACTATGAAAAAGTTATGATAAAGATATCATAGAAAATATAATTCATTGAGAATCGCATCTGATAAAATAATGAAGACATACTTTTTGTCGAAACAATATCACAACGGCTTTTAAGATTGTTCTGAGAAATAGTAGACTGTATATCAAATTACATGATTCGAAAACACGGCAAAAAAGAACTATCTACATTGATTTGATGATCAGCAAAATAGAAAAGAAAATATGAAAGCACGTAAACGAAGCCAACTAAATATTAAGTTATTCATTGGACTGCTTGAGGTCGACCTATTTCACTTCTTCCTTTCAATTTTGAGCTTTTTTAAATCGTCCAAAACTCTCTCAACCTAGCAAAGAATTGATAGAAAAAGCGTCAAAATAAGTACGATCGCTCACTTACCTTTCGGAAAATATGAAACCGCGGATCAAACATTAGATTAAAACTCATAAGTTGTTTAGGTCCAAGGATGTGCATGTGTAAGTGATGGACACTATTGAATGGTGGCCAATGAAATCCAAACCTACAACTTATTTGATATTAAATGATAATTTACAAGAAATCGTCTGGGTCCAATTTCAATTGACTAGTGAGATAATTCTTTCCGCAATTCATCATATCCATAACTGATTTACATGAAGCAAAGCCAGAGTTTACCTAGTGGTATATCTTCATGAGTCAAATATTTAGCGTTCCTTATGTGCTTTTTAGGAACACATTGAAAGTGATACTGAGCTTTCGGTAAGTGATCATGAAATATCACTAAATCATTGGTCTTTCATAAGTGTTCGGAAAAATTATTGATTAACAAGAACAATCAAAACTTACTTCGAAACAGATTGTTTGATTTGTCTTTCCGTAAGCAATGGAGCAAAAAATACAGCCATCTTTTGGTGTTAGCATAGATTTTCCTTTCGTCTATGAAAGTTTCAAGGCGAAATGTTTTTATATCTCAGTATATTTAGTAGAAAAAAAACAGTGTCCTAATAAAATATTGTCCAGAGAATTGTGCATTAACTGACGATTGAATGGAAAGGATATTACAGGTAACGGATCTATATCCTACTTCCACTAGTTCTCTTTGAGCATTTCAGTAGAATAGGCTATCATACAAAAAGTACGGCTCAAAGACGAACGAATAAACCTATACCTATTGGTGAATAGATAACAGTAAGAAATCATAAAATATTTTCGGTTTGACATTTCTAAACGTGTCAATCTGTTTTAAATAAAATGACTAGTCACTACGAGTATTATGTATTATTTATTTATTTGAACACATAAATATTGGTACAAAAGGGCACCAAATATATATGCGCCACACAAAACCATGGGAATTTGAAGAGAAGGAAAAAGGTGAGGAGTGTTTAAAAAAAGAGCAATAACGAACAGAATAAGGTAAGGTAGCGTAATAATAATGGGGGAAACGAAAAGGTACAATCAGAAGAAACCTTTCAGGTAAGGGAGACACAACCACTTTTTATGAAGAAAGTAAAAGAAGGTTACAACAGGATCGCCACTGGCTTCTATTCTGAGCCATATCTGATAACGTCTCTAGCCACTGTGTTGCACCATCTCTCGGACCCCAGCCAGGGGGTCTTGAAGGACCAACACAACCAGTCCTTTGCAAATTTCTTTCATTCCACGACACCATGTCATACACTGACCACCTTTCCGCTTTTTCCAACCAGTCCCAGAGTCGGCAAATAATGCACGACGTGGAACTCTCTGGGACGACATTCGTAGAACATGCCCAAGCCACCTAGATCGGTGTTTCAAGATGGTGACACCAATTGCATTATCATCTCTGTGCCCGAACACACGATGCCGAACCTCTGCATTACTGACATGATGTTGCCACTGGATGTCAACAATCCTTCGGAGACAGCGATGATCGAACACAGAGTCGTCTAACATCCTCAACTCGGAGAGACCAGGTTTCACAAGCATAAAGCAAAACTGCTGTCACCGACGCGTTGTAGGTCCGACCTTTTACAGCCAGACTAACATCACGAAGGCGCCAAAGGTGGCCCAGATTGGCATAAGCCGCTCTGGCTTTCACTATGCTTGCACTGATCTCATCACTCACGCCACCACCAGCACTTATGCAGCTACCCAGATACACGAACTTCTCGACTACTTCTATCTGCTCACCATCCAGGGTGAGTACAGGATTGGAATCCTGCCAGTCTTGTAGAAGAACTTTGCACTTCGAAGGTGCGAAGCACATACCATACCTACGGACACTGATTGCCAACCGATTAAGTGCGGATTGCATGGCTTGGGCATTATCGCACAGTAAGAGAATATCATCCGCATACTGAAGGTCGAAAAGTCGTTCTCTAGGCAACAGATCCACACCGCCATTACTAACATCCATCAGAGCTGTTTCCAGAATGTCATCGATGGCAGAGTTGAAGAGGAATGGTGAGATTGGGCAACACTGTCTAACCCCACTGCTTGAATGGAACAATGGAGAGAGGTGGTTGTATGCCCTCACTCTGCCTGAGGTGTTTGTATATACGGCCTTTAGGATGTTAATAAACTTCTCAGGCACACCCTTCGTCAATAGAAAATCCCAAAGAACAGTCTTGTTCAACGAATAAAAGGCAGCCCTGATGTCAAGAAACACTACGATTGTTGGCCTTTGATAAGTATGATGGTGTTCTAACATTTCGCGAAGGGTGAAGATATGATCAATACATCCTCGACCAGAACGAAACCCAGCCTGCTCCTCGCGAGTCAATCTTTCTCGGGTTTTGAACAACCTACGAAGTATGACGGAAGCCAATAGCTTGGACGCAATCGGAAGTAGACTTATCCCCCGATAGTTGTTACAGGAACGACGTGAACCCTTTTTAAAGATAGGGACAACTAACGACTCAATCCAATGCGTTGGTACACTCTCTAGTTCCCAGACCTTTGTAAACAACGTCGTCAGTTCCTTAGTCAGAAAGTCACCACTATCTTTAAAAAGAGCCGGAGGTAAGTCATCAGGGCCAGGTGATTTGTAACGCTTCAAGAGTTAGAGTTCCTTGCGGACCTCCGCCTCATATGGTGGATCAGTCGTCACCGGCCACAGAGGGTAGGACAGTCTGACCGATGTTGCCGGAGCAGCAGGCCAGTTGAACTGCCCTTCGAAGAATTCTGCCCATCGTCAAAGACGTCGATGGATGTTAATGATTGGTACCCCGTCATCCTCGCAGATTGTTTCGCTCACACCAAACTTCTTGCTTTTCGTGGCTCGGATGAGTTGGAAGAGCTTCCATTAGTTACCAGATGCAGCTGCTGCCTCCAGCTCATTAGCACGCTTCGACCACCAGGCTTCTCAGTCCTTACGCAAGCTTTGCCAAATTTCCTTACCTAACATCCTTCGTTTATGGTCAAACTCACGGTCACCCGGAGTAGACCGACGGGCTTCAATGAGTTGTAAGGAGCCTGAAGAAACTCAGTGCTTATAAGAGGGACGTTTCGCGAACCTACATCTGACTGTACCCGCCATTTTTATGGCGTCATGCAATTGCAACCAATGCTCATCTATACTTTTCAGTGGCATGGTAGCTAGCCTAGAAGCTAGCTCGGTTCGATACTTACTAGCAACAGAAGTTGCAACCAGCTTGCTAACATCAATCCGTTGGTGGCGGTCACTTCGTTGGCCACTGAAAAGTAAAGTAAGATTGGCGCAGACCAGGGCATGATCAGAGTCCAGATAGGTACTCCAAAAGGAGCGGCAGTCTTGTACACAACCACGCCAGCGGTAGCTGATCGCGATGTGATCAATCTGAGTCCATGCTTGAGATGCAGAGGGAAGACGCCAGGTGGCACATCGGCGATGGCTGTGCCGAAAGTTAGTGCTAGCCAGAAACAGGTTGTGGTCTGTACATAGTTGCAGTAGACGGTCCCCGTTATCTGTCCTGCGACCAACAAGTCCCCATCGGTCACCTAAACGGTTCCCTTCTGTGCCTAGACGCATGACCTGAGCATTCAAGTCCCCAGCTAGTACTACAATATCTGTCGAACGCACTTTCTGGGGCGTAACAGATAATTGGTGGTAGAATTCATCCTTGATTGCATCCGGGCTGCAATCTGTCGGAGCATAGGCGGAGATGACGAAGAGACATCGTTTCTCACGCCGATTTCTTCTCACTTTGATAGAACTCTCTAATCTAACAGCACGTAACCGACTGTTAATGAGGATCGAATCGATTAGTGCTGCCTCAGCTCTAGGGCTTAGTGAGACACCAACTCCAACAAGACCAAACGAAGATGCCACAGGGTCCTCAGATAAACGCACGTATAACAGGCTTTTTGAAGTGACAGATGAAGAGCGAATTTGTAGTCTTGAATACGGGTCTCGGATAGACAACAAACATCACTATTAAGACTTTCCAAAGACATAGCCAGCCCTATCTGTTGTCCGATCTACATAAGTGTGCGAACGTTGAAGGCAGCCAGGTTGAATGGTGCATGTGGTTTCAGAAAAACTGTTTGAGTATTCCTATTTGGTGGTAGCATACAATTTTCAACCAGGCAGTAACTCGAGAACGTTTAGATAGAGCCGAATTTCCACCACAGGCGAGCTGCTGTAGAAGTCGAAAAATAAGTATACACAGAGTGGGAATAAAAGGCGTAGTAAATAATAATAATAATAACAATAGTAATAATAATAATGTGAGTCATTTGATTGTTATTCAGAGCAAGAAGAATATTTTCCATAAATAGACAGTTCATTTTTTGTGTGTGGGCTGTGATACTGCCCGGGTGCCCAAACTGAAGCAGGTGGTTTTCTAAGGGGACCACACCCCGAGCCTTTGATCAAAAGGTCTGATCCACAAGGCAGTGGAGTATCGTAAGGAGATGCAGTCCCATGGTAGCCGGTGACCAAGAAATTGGTTCACACGCCATTTGTTCCCACAGGATACTGGAACCCATGCGCACCATTGGTTTGGAATCCGGTTAAAGTGCCGGACATTCTCTTTTCGTCCTCTCATTTTCGTAAACAACACCCTCGTCCCGAGAAGGCAGTGAGTAGGACTTCCCTGTCAGAGGCTGTATGCGCGTAGCCGTGTGAGAGTATTTCGAGAGGGAGGGCGAGCCCACCCTGCTCTCGGCCATACCTGGGCATTTGAGGAGATCTATCCGCCATGAGATGTTAAAACTGAACAATATTTAATCCATCTATTACCGTAATTCCAAACAAGTCATCACACCATAACTAGTTTTCAGACTAGGACACTAGTGACAGAATTATCGTGCATACATTTTACTTGTACAGGATTTTTAATCATAGAGGCCGTAAACTTAAAATCCACGTTGGCATAAGCATTTTGGTACGCTTATCTAGCCGAAATACATCACAATATGATCAGGAACAAGCAGAAACGTAACTCACTAGTTTACCATATTTTTAAATTAAAGCAGAGATTCTAATGGTATTGTAGAATTTATGCATACACCAAATCATCGATTGGTGAATGTCATCTACTATGGTCCAAATTTTTAAATTCGACGACAGCTGTTAAATGAACCGTGCGTAACACTATAATTTTGATAGTTTTTGAATCAGTGGCAGACCAGTACCTGTTTCAGCTGCGTAGTTATTTCGTAGTGCTAACAAAACCTTATCCATAGTCTTGCCTTCTAAGATCAAGCTATATCACTAATTGTTCAGCTATTCAGAAATAAGTGACTATTTGAGTCCGCAGTTATAACAAGTACTCATAACAGTGTTTCATTAAAATACAAAACTATACATACAACTGATACGACACGTTTATTCTTACATTATTTTCCATGGTTCATTATCTGACCACACTACCAAAAGTGACCGTGAACTTTTTACATTTGGAGCCAAGTACAGCAAACGAATGTTGATTTGGCATATATATTGCCCTGTCAAATGACAGGAACAGTTACTTCTTGAGGCACTGTGGTGTTTGTATGAACTGACGATTCCTTTGTACTTGTTGAATGCTTGGTTTTGAATTCCAAACATAGTACATTCGTTTGTGCTTATCTAGTACTTCATTATTCAATGGCGTTATTTCTGCGATTCCTAGTTTGTACTATGATTCAGATACCCCTAATTATCATAGGCACCCGACAGTTTGTAATTCATTTCAATACGCAACAACCACCAAGCAACCAATATAGGAGAGATTGGGGCGAACTTTGTAGGAGTTTCTTAAAAACAGCAGTGCGAATTAAGCGACAAAGCGTTCAATTGTGGGTTTTCTTCTTGCCACTGAGAGGAGGGAGTCTGAAGACTAGTACCTGAACATTTCCTAAAATTGCCACTAAATTTATTCTCGCCCATTAGAGATTCCATCAGATATGACTCCTCGTCTCTCTTGAATCTAATCTTCACACATGGTAATGATGTCAATCAAATAATTTTTCTCCCATCTCTGGGGATAGGTGATCATGCAGTCGTTAAACACAAGTTTGTGGCTGAGATGGTCTGTCAAACAGTTACGTCAGCCAGTCCCAACATATGGAAGGCAGATACGAAGGCAATCAACTCTGCAGCATAGACTGGAGACTGGATAATTGACTCAGGGGCATCAGTAGAAGAGGCATGGACTCATTTCTGGCAGTTATACAATCAGGTGGCTCAACCATTTATACCTTGGATAGTCGCAAAGAAGAAGAGTAACGGCCATTCCTGGATGGGGATATTCGACGATTTCCAAGACAAAACAAATGTTAAAACGTTACTACTAGCCGTGGCAAAACAAGTACAATGGAACGCCACAGGTCGGTAAGAAATAAGTGTATGATTACAATTCAGAAAGCAACAAAAAAGTACATTCAGCCCAGTTTGTAATCAAGCAGCCTATGAGACTATACTTGTACACAATTTACGGAACAAGAAAGCATCATCGGATACCCAACCTAATTTCAGAAGTGAGTGAATCTGAAGTTATAGAGGGTAATCAGGAAGAAGCAGAGGCTGTGGCAAACTATTCTGGTGCAGTTTTTACTCAGGTGTCGCTTATGGACGAAGAAAAAGACTTAAATGCAATGTTAACAAATCGTCTGCTCACCGTGGACTGTGATCGAGACGATGTACTCAAGGCTCTTGGCACCTTAGGCACGGAAATGTCAGCAAGACTAGATGAATCACACCCTAAAATCCTGAGACAAATTGCACAACATATTGCAGCCCCACTAACTGTGATATTCAATATGCCACTTGACCAAGGTGTGTTATCTACGAACTGAAAGGATGCAATCGTCACTCTCATACATAAAACAGGATCAAGACAACTTCCACCGAATTACAAACCTGTCAGCCTCAGCAGTGTCGTAGTTAAAATACAGGAAAGAATAGTCAAGAAAACCATAATAACATTTGTGGAAACCAGCAATTTGTTAAACAGTGAACATCACCATTTCAGAAAACGTTTGTCTTGCACAACAAATCTCCATGTTGCAAGGGAGCAATGGATAGAGACTCTAGACAATGGAAACTCAGTGGATGTTGTCTACATAGGCTTCGGCAAAACATTTGATAAAGTGTCAACAAATGGGCTGCTTTTGAAGCTGGGAAATCCAGGCATTTCCGGATCTCTCCTAAAATGATTTAAGAATTTCCTGATGGGTCGTAGACAGAAAGTAAGAGCGAATTCCAAGCGCTCCACCTGTAGACCATTACTTAGTGGAGTGCCGCGTGGTTCTGTCCTAGGTCCCTATCTTTTTATACAGTATGTAAGTGAACTCCCAAGAATAGTTGAGTCATCAATGTTACTATATGCTGATGATGTGAAAATCTGACGAGAAACAACATGAGACGCGGGTGCATTCACACTTCAGATAAATTTACGTGTTCTGATTAGCCGGTCTAAAGAGTGACTGATGTCTATCAACATGACAAAGTGCATCTACATGCACTTTGGGGATACGAATGTAAACAGGTACAACATAGAGGAAGTGCCTGTACCTGAACGAATATGATACCCGTGGAATACAGGTTTTCACAACGAGTCGTCAATTCTTGAAACTTGTTTCATGAAGCGGTGATGTCCGCACCTCCAAATAAGCCATTTAAGAGAGTACTATGCACTCACAGAAGCACACTAGAAATGGAATAGTATAGACTGTAGACCTTCTGTCCTTACTACACAAATCCGAATCTGAAGTTGTCCACTTCTCTCAAAATTAACACTAAGTTATTCAAAGGAACGTGATAAATTTTTTGATGTATTCCCAGTGGTCTCTAAAAATAAGTATGCGGAAGTATGGTTTTTGTGATTGTTTTGATATAATCCTTAACCTCGTTTGAAAGCCATTAAAAAATGCAAACATAGAATCTTGAGCCGTGTTGTATTCCACGACGTTTGTAACACGGTAAAAAGTTTAAAGCTAATGAACAACAAATATGATATCATTCCTCAAACGGCGGACCACCCTGCAAATCCAGATCAGAGACCTTGGAACAAAACACGGATTCCAACTGTCCTAAAAGTACTCCTTAATAAGACTTGAATGAACTTGAATTCATCTGACAGAGAGAAAGAAACTCTCCATCTCTGACGAAAGGGTATGGGAAGACAGAATCCACGATGCCGGAACGAGAAATATTTAAGACTGTACTCAACTGTTCCATGGGTATCCCAACGACAGTGAACAGGTTTTCCCCGCTGATATTATATAACTTGCCGTCATCGCCTCTAAGTATCAAAACTGATGTTAGGGTTCAGCGTAACGGTTCAAATGGTTGAGGACGGAATAGAAGAAGCTTTCGCTTAACGGGCTTCCGTGTCTAGTAGCAGTGGATCACCAACACACCCGGGCAGGAACCTAGGTATATTAACGATAATACAGGAAAAAAGAAAAGAAATTTGTAAATCACAACAAGATGTTATCCTCAGCCCTTAATAGTAGGTCAAGTTTCCTCTTAAAAGACTCCTAGGAAGTCGCTTGGACTAGTTCAGTAGGCAGAGAATCCTAGTATTTGACAACTCTTAAGGAGTAGAAGTTGTGTCCACAGTCCGTTCTGCTGCGTTGTGTCTCCAATTTATGGGTGTTACCCCTTAGGTTTGTATTGGGACTAAGCCTAAGTAGGTGTTTAAGGGGATGTCCAGAAGTGTTAAGGATACTGTAAGCCATTAGAAGGTCACCTCTAAGACGCCTATACTCTAATGGGTAAAGGTTAATTGATTGAAGGCGCTCTTCATAAGGATTGAATTTGAGTCGCCATTGGATACGTTCAAGAGTGTCTTTATCCTTTTGGAGTGAGGGAGGAAATACTATATTTCCGTACTCTAAATAGGGACGGATAAAACTGTTGAAGATTATATGGAAAGTTCTACCGTCAAACTGGCCAAACATGCGTTTCAGTGTTGTCAGTGCAAGGTTTGTTCGAAAGGCATTTTTGTCACAGTCAGCGTAAGACTTTAATTCGTGTGGCACCAGGACTCCTAAATCTTTTTCGACTCGGGATACAACTAGAGAGGAGCTTCCTACGCTGTACCTGTAGTCTGCGACATTTCGTAGGTGGACTACTTTACACTTTGAAGTGTTAAAGGTAGGTCCGTTTTCGTCTGCCCAACTTTGAGGTCGAGTCAGATCTTCCTGAAGTGCCTGTATATCCTCACGGTTGCGCATCGCTCTCCAAAGTTTCACGTCATCAGCAAAAAGTAATAAGTCCAACGTTACCTGTTGTGGAAGACCATCTGTACAAACCAAGAAGAGAGGAGGTCCTAGTACTGAGCTCTGGGGGATCCCCACTAGGGCATTCCATAGCCTGAGATAAAGTGAAGTTAACTCTGGCCTTAAAATATCGATGTTCTAGACATCAAGTGAGTCAGTCAATTAGAGTTGATTTGATATCCAATCGTTTGAGCTTACTGATAAGACATTATGGTTTACCCTATCAAAAGCTTTTGAGAAATCAAGGCAAATGATATGAATTTTCCTCTTGCGATCAAGGATGCCTGTCCATCTGTCCACCGCAGTCAGAAGGTTGGTTATACAAGAGTAACCCTTCCTGAAACCATACTGTTGGGGGAAGAAGAAATTTAAGGACAGTAAATAGTCACTAATACCATAGCATATCAGGAACTCCATAATTTTTGTAGGTATAGAGAGAAGAGCCACCGGTCGGTAGCTTGAAGGTTCTCCGTGTCAATCTCCTTTGAAAGTTGGTGTGATGTGAGCCAGCTTCAAAATTTCCGGTAGTTTGCCTCGGCTTAGCGAGTGTGAGAATATCACGCTAAGCGATGTTACCAGGATTGAAGCTGCTTCACTCAGTATAGCAAAATGAACCACATCTGGGCCAGGAGAAGTGTCTCTTCTCAGGTGCTGCAGTTTCCGGAACACCAAGTTAGCGCTCAGGTTCACTTCGGAAAGTCCTGTGCAGTTGCAGATGAAGCTGTCATCAGTATAATTGATGTGGGTCGGTTCAAGTGTTTGAGAGTATTTTTCAGCCAAAAGGTTAGCGGCGTCACCATCGTTATTGATCGGGCCATTAAGACTCAGCAGTTAGGAATCTCCAGTTTTGGCTTGTCGAAGAGAGACCGCATGACGAAATAAGCTTTTCGAATTAGAGACAAATGTACCCACAAGCTTTATCTGGTACTGAAGCCTGTCTTCTTTTATGGCCTTCGTGAATATGTTCCACGTATGTTTATATTGCCTGTACGCCCCGTTGTTGCCAGTTCGTTCGTATTCTGCCCAACAGTGCCTTTTGTGGCCTAGCAAACGAAGACTGCGGTTCTTGATGAGTGTAGGTTGCTTGTAGCTATTGGAAACCGTTTGGCGGACTGACTGCTCTGTAGCACGTCAGAGTGTGTGCAGTAAGAAATCCTAATGAGCATCCACATCAAGTTGATGGTGAACATCCCAATCCACCTGTTGTAGATAGTCTTGTAGAGCTGATACACTCAACCGTTTGAAATTCCAGCGCATGTTGCTGGTGGGATATCTTAGCTCACTTTCGTTGATAAAACTGGGAGCTACAACGGCGTGATCGCTTTTTCCCACGGAAGCCAGGACTGAGA